GGGGGGGGGGGCGCAACTCCGGGCGGGAGCGACCCAGGGTAGGGCTCTACATTTTAAAATAATTAAGAGGCCCTAGGAATTCTGGCTTCTCGGGAAAACCGGGAGAAAGCGCTGATTTGAAGCCCTTTGACTTGGGGATGAAACGAGGGGAGGTGGGCAGAATTCAGGGGCCTGGCGGTGAGATGGTGAATCGGAGTGCCCAGGAGCAAGGTTGCGGGCTCCCTATTCCCACCCCTCCCCCAGCCTAAAGAGCCAGCCTCACTGATCAAATTAATAACCCGGGGGTTCCTTTGAGATGGGCCTTTCGACCCCCAGGCCTGCAGATCTCGGTGGGAAAGGGAATGTGGAGAGGTTAAGAATCCATTGTGTCCTTTTCAGTGTCCTCGGTGCCTAGGACAGTTCCAGCCTGGGTGGGGTGTAGCAGCTCTGTGGCCTTCCCACCCCCACATCCCCCACCCTCTTAGATGCAGCACAAGGACACTAAACCTGTTAGACAGCACTCCCTCACCTAAAATTCAAACCGGTGATGTCCTTCTAGGCTGAGGAGAAGTCTCTGGTTGTCCTCCAAAAGACCTGGGGAAGAGAATATTCCAGTGTGTTTGCATTTTAATTCTACAGGTCTGCCATTACCCCTCTCTGAAACTTCCATATTTAAAAAAAAAAGGAGCGGATACCACATCCGGGGCCTCTTTCTCTGGTGGGGGAGGGAGAAAAGAAATGATAGAGAGAGCCTTTTCATGACCCTTTGAGTACTCTCTGTTAGAATTCACTTGATGATGAGTTATGTGGTCATCTGAAACTTGCAAAAACAAATAACTCTAGTAGATACCACACAGAGATGAATGCAGGTTTTGCTCTGGAATGTAACTGCCCTACATAGATATATTTATTTTTTTGAATTGTACTTGAGATTCTCTATTCATCCTTTTTCGAAAATGAATCAACTCCGTCCTGGGATGGAATTTTAAATGCTAAGCAAGTTAAATAAATAAGAACGTGCAGATTTAAAGAGGGGAGAAGATCAAGTAAGTAATGATTATTTACATAAGTGAGACCAAGTTTAGGTTTTGATCAGAGTTGGATATGCACACCCTCAGCACATATGGAAACGCTCAGGCAAATGGTTTTTGTAGTATTGGGTTTTTTTGCCATTGGAAATTAATCCATTTTTTTTCTTTGTTTTCTTGCAGTTACCTTATTGGATTCCAGGTCTGTTCAGGGAGAACTTGGGTGGATAGCGAGCCCTCTGGAAGGAGGGGTAAGTTCCGAGTTGCTCTCTGATCCAAAGGGTAAAAAGGAGTGATTAGCAACTTTCTGAGAGTCCTAATGGCTTGATTCTTGTTGATTGTGGTGAGGGGGTCAGATTTCCACCATGGCCTATGAAGTGAATTACGCTTTGTTGGAGAAATCCTATACTCCCTTTGGATGGTTCTGTCATAGAAGAAGTAGAAACCAAAAGGGCAGAAAGGGGTTTCAAAATTAGGAGATTGGTGGAGGCATAGACTTAGATGCCTATTTAAAACTAAAATACCCTCAAGAAATACAATCCAGGGACCAAATTAGAATTCGTGCCTATTAATGTGATGGCCGTGAAGTCCTGACAGGGTTCATTTTAGAGCAATTGTTCTGTTTCCAGATGAGGAAAATGCATAAGTAAAGAGACCAGGGGGAAAACATTTTCTGATTGCAGCAGGTACAGGTTTAGTTCTAGGTGTAAGCAACAGGGCGGGGGTGGGGGTGGGGGGTGATGGGGATGGTCCTTACCTTGCTATCTGCAGCTCTCTTGCACACAAAGAGAAAGACCTATGAACTTTATGCAGAAACAAACAAACAAATGAACGAACCAAAACAACAACAACAACAACAACAACAAGCTTTTGAATTGTTGGTGCTGAATGTGGAAAGTTTAAATATTTGGAATCTTGAATCTTTGGGAAAGGGGAAGCTAGAAGATAAAGTATGAGAGAGTTCATCACTGTTCATTTCTTCTCAAATGTGCCATCCCTGCCTCCTGAAGATTTAAGACCACAGTTAGGTCAATGGCCACATCTTCCCCCTCCGCCCTTCAGAACAGGTCAGAATGCATCAGCTTTGGAAAGAAATCCATTTAGCATGTTAACTCTGGCTTCTGCCAAATTTAAAGTAATTCTCAAATCCTTTAAAAATTAAGTAGATCATTCTACTTTTATATGCTTGATAATCTATGACAGAGTCAGTTGATTCAAAACAATGGAGGTGAACGAGAGGGAGTGTTTAGCAGGCGAAAGACCTAAGGCCAGCTCCCGGTTTGGTGCCTCACAACACCTGTCCATTGAATCAACAATAAAGGATGAAAAAAGTAAAGATTCACAGAAACTTGTAAAAGGCGGGCTTCAAAAATAAGGCAAGAAAGTAGTAAGGCAAATGGAGACTCTTAGGTGGTCTTTTTTCCAAAAGAGGTCGTGTAATCCACATGAAATAAACCGGAGGTCGCCTTGCCTTCCTGTTTATCCGCCTGAACTTGACTGCACTTGGTTGGCTCTCTGCTGAAAAATTCTAGTCGGGCCTGAAAACCATTTTTTTAAAGGGAGGGAGAGTGATTGGCAGGCCTCTAGCAGTGTAGACAGGCTGTATTCACTGCTGATTGCAGGCAATTGCCGTCATCCTTTGAATGCGAAGAAAGGTACAGCTTTATCTTGTGAGAGTCAGCCTCTTGTTAATCCTATACCCTGGAAAGGTCACTGATTCAGGGAGGCTTTCCCATGCTGTACCAGGAGGATAGCTCTGTGGGTTGACTGTATTAGAACTGCTAGCAAAATTGAGGATGGAACGCATCAGTACTTTGAAAATTTAATAAGTCTTATTTTCTTACTGGCCACTCTCAAGTTTGAAGGGAGAAGGCATCAAATATGATTTTGGACCTGCCTTGCTACACTAAATATACATGTGATCTGTTTAAAAGCAAGGAATGACACATTTCTGAGTACAGCCTATGGTCTATCTAGTTTCTGGAAAGCTTTTACCGCAACTTAATATGCTGTAGACATCCCACATCCTGCACCCACCCCCCAACTGCTGAAAGGACACCTGCTCACTTTTTCTAAACACAAAACTTCTTTCGGTCGTCTTGAAGTCTCTTAAAATAATACTGTGCGTATATAGCTGATTGTGTACAACCCAGAACTTTTTATGGACCTAATGTGGACTTCTGAATGCAGAATGTAGTTGTTTGTTTGTTTTTCTTTCTCCCTCTCCTTAAGTATTAGGGGTGTAACATTTTAGATATTATTGCAAGGGGCTGGAAATGACATTTTGTTTATGTATAATAGAATTAGTCATTCCAAAATATATAGTAGCCGTTGAGAAATTATGTGCCGAATTATAAAGTCTCATTAATCTGTAGATCTTGTAATTTAAGAAGACTTTTTCAGGCTTAGAATGAAGGTATGAATTGGATTATCTCCCAAGTATGGATGGATTGGCTTTAAAAAGTTCTTTCTAGCTAAACATAAAAGCACATTTGTATCTTTTGGTTATTCTGAAATTTCTACCTGTAGGGAGAACGGCTTATATCTTTCTTGGCTGGAAACTTGGGATCACGGTTTGGTCAATAAGTGTTGTCCTTTATTTGTTGTTATTGTTATTTTTAAAGAGGAAGGGAAAACTTGACAATACCACAGAGTCAGATATGAAATATAGTCAGAGACAACTCCGTGTTCTCTTTTTTTCTGTAAGAACAACTAAGCAGAACATAGAATAAATGAAAGGAATGGCTCCTGATGGCAACATTGTAGCAAAAACCTAATTTCTTGGCAGCGGTCCTTTAAAGGAGTATATTGAGTTTCTGATGCTGATTGTAAAATACAAAACTAAGGCCGAGATTTGTCATTGTTCTGGTGAATTGATCAATGTGTTTAGACAATCAAGGTCAGGCTGGAAAATTCCCATTAGACCCAAACTATCCTGTATGAACTCTATGGAGATATTCCTGTGTGCTTTCATTTACATTGATAAATGTGTTTTTCCATAGTCCCTTTGTTCTGAGATGAGAAGCATGCTGAGTAGGGTTTTTTTGAAGGTGGGGATCTATTTTTGGATTTACATGAATTTCCCCAAATAAGTAAATTACTGGTGATTTATTGCTTAGCGGATAAAAAGAAATTTTAATCACCACAGGGCACTTATCCCTCCCAGTTCCAACTTTCATAATGGTCGCAGATGAAAGGGATCCAGAATTTTATGCAGTGTGGCCCTTCACAGAGTAACATTTCCATCCATTAATAGTTTTCCAATGCACAGATGGAAAACCCGTTAAAAGATGCATTATGGTTGTACGTACTTCATTGGATTGAATGGAGCTTTAAGTGGAGCTATTATAGAATATGAATTTTTTTAAACTATCTTTTTTCTCTTCTAATTATATTCATGTGTTAGATACTTAAGCTGATTTATACCAGATCTATATAAATGCATCACTGTAGATATTAGGGAAGAATTGGAGGCTTCCTGCTAGCCCTCTAGGAGCCCCCAAACAATCTTGCTGCTCTTAGGATTATTTTTAAAAGCTGTGGCAAGAGTGAAATTACTACTCTAGTCACAGTGAGTTCAGACTGTCCCACCAGTAGAATCTTTATGTGAGGAAGTCGATTGCAAAGAAAACCCTAAAAGCCTTCTTTAATTTTCTTGGGCTTTCAATCATAGATACCACCTACTATTGTATTTTCAATGTCCACAGAATATTTGGAAGAGGCATATGTGCGTTCTTGTTTCCTTACGGGTATGTGTTTTAAAAATAGGAATACGTATATGAAAATCAGAATACACATAATTCATTGAATCCATTGCTCTGCAAAGGTGTCTCATTGTTATGAATGACAGTGGATTTGAGAAATCCAACCATAAAGTTTGCTCTCTGTCTTCCCAGGATTACCAAAACCAGAAGAGTGAGATTTTCTTTACCTCTTTAAAGAATAGGGACAGTGCCAAAAAAAAAAAAAAAAAAAAAAAAAAAATCGACTGACATTTTTTTTTTTAGGTATTAGAGAGCAAAGTTCTGACAGGAGCACCACTAATTAACTGATAATTGTCTTCCTTTGGCAAGCTTCTTTCTTCCTGCTCTTAATTTGCAGGTCTCTGCTCAGTTGTTGAAACAATACACATACTAGTTTTTCATTTATGAGTAAATTTGAACTGTTGCCACTTGAAATTGTAGCTGTTGTAATAGGTGAATTTGAGGTTGTTAGACCACCACAAGGAGCTGCTAGTGAATTCATACGCGATAAATCTACCAATGCCTCTGGATTTTAGGCAAAAGAATGAAACCACCACACACACACACACACACACACACACACACACACACACACAAACCAGAAAACAAAAAATAAAAAAAATACTTCCCCAATAAAATGTTGTCTTGTCTCCCATAAGACGTTTCATTAGTGAGGGTTGATGCTCAGGAGTTTGCTTCCTCACTGGAACAAAAGTCATCACTGTCCTGCGAGGGTAAAACGGAATGGATAAATCACTGTATGATGACATTTTGTAATTGATACATTTCCTCTGGATCTTTGCAGTGGGAGGAAGTGAGCATAATGGATGAAAAAAATACACCAATCCGAACCTACCAAGTGTGCAATGTGATGGAACCCAGTCAGAATAACTGGCTACGAACTGATTGGATCACCCGAGAAGGGGCTCAGAGGGTGTACATTGAGATCAAGTTCACCTTGAGAGACTGCAACAGTCTTCCGGGTGTCATGGGGACTTGCAAGGAGACGTTTAACCTGTACTACTATGAATCGGACAATGACAAAGAGCGTTTCATCCGAGAGAGCCAGTTTGCCAAGATTGACACCATTGCGGCCGACGAGAGCTTCACCCAAGTGGACATTGGTGACAGAATCATGAAGCTGAACACTGAGATCCGGGATGTAGGGCCACTGAGCAAAAAGGGGTTTTACCTGGCTTTTCAGGATGTGGGGGCCTGCATTGCCCTGGTATCGGTCCGCGTGTTCTATAAGAAGTGTCCGCTCACCGTTCGCAACCTGGCCCAATTTCCAGACACCATCACAGGGGCTGACACGTCTTCCCTGGTGGAAGTTCGAGGCTCCTGTGTCAACAACTCAGAAGAAAAGGATGTGCCAAAAATGTACTGTGGGGCAGATGGTGAGTGGCTGGTACCCATTGGCAACTGCCTATGCAATGCTGGGCATGAAGAGTGGAATGGAGAATGCCAAGGTAAGGAGAGCCATATTGTACTTTTCATTAGGGCTTAGTGCACGTAATTAAATCAGAGATGAGACTAAATGGAGTAAAGCCAGTAATTAGCAGCCCCTGTGGGATGTGGTGGGACAGAGGGGTCTAATGAGTAAGTGCTATAGCTCCAGGTGGCAAGGCTAAGACATTTCTAATACTGACAAAATAAATGATGCTGTGTAATCAGCAGAAGGCCAAACACATTTGCTAACAGGCACTTAGATCTGAACTGGCTTGATGTGCCCTCTGAAATGTAAATGAACAAGTGGAAGAAACAGACTCGATTGATCCTTACTTTAAGCAGGCAGACACGTTTTCAAACCATAGTTCTGCTGTCTACAGATCTGGGAAAATGGCAGCAATGGTTAAATATCTCTCGTCGCGTATGTATGTACAGGAACGACTTAACTGTGACATTAGGATCGCATTCTTGCAATTCCCTCCCACTGATTAAAATCGAGCTGTGTGAAGAAAGTCCAGTTTTTCCTGTCTCATGGGCCAGTGTAGACGAGTGGAGTGGAGTATAGACAAAATGGAGTGACAGAGTTTCAAGTACACTCTGTTCCACCGAGCACCCATTGATAGGGTCTGCAAGTGACATTAATCTTGATGAAAGACCTCTTGATTTCCCCGAGGAGGTGATAAAGAGCTAATGAGAGTCTTATTTGATCTGTATGGTCGGAAGCCATAGTGAATTGTGATCCATTTTGGTTATTGAGTTTTTGAAGAAGTCGAGACTTTTTTTCTATCACGTTAATTACTACTTATCATATTACCAAGAAGATTTTCTTTCCTGAAGTTTAGTGTATGCAATTCTTCCTTCCCTTATTTCTCCTTCCTGGGGAGTTTTTGTAAAAGAGTTTTCTTTGCAGCGGCTTTGTTTCTGAGCAGGGGGATGAAAAAAGTTCATATTTAGATGGATTGCTCGTGTTGTGTGTGGATTAAGGCTTAAAAAACTCAGTCATGCCTAGCGTTGTTATTTTTGCTTGATGTTTTATTTTTAGTGGTTATCAATAGTCTGCTGCCACCAACCTTATGGTTACTGCTAAACAGTGTAACTCTGGTCCCGACTATGGAACGGATCCGATTAATCTTTTCTCAGGGTGACTGTTGAGCTGTAGACTGATTGCCACATGGTTCATCTGATTTGGTGATTAAAGACCCCGCAATAACTGACTGCCAAACAATTTGTCTGGCATTTCAACCATCTTAATGACAGGGTGGGATTAGCCATGGGACAATCCATTTGACTGACTGGAAATCAACAGTTATAACCTCAAGAAAGTTGCATTTGTGGTAATTTGATGTCATAGGTTATGCATTTTTCTCCTTTATACTTTATGCTGTTTTAAAGTGGCACTCTTGATTTGCTAGTTATTTCTGGGAGTAGCTAACAAGGAATGTCGTAAATCCATCGTAAATAAAACAATAAACCTTTTCTGTTGACCCAGAGTGAAAAGGTAAACTTGTAAATTTGAAAACTTTTAGGTTGGTTGTTAAAGTTGTTTGTTTGTTTACAACGATTAATTTCTTGGTCACTGTGTTGGCTCTTGACTTCGCAGCTACTAGATCGGCTCTACCGAACTGAAACCCTGAAGTATATTCTGGTAGGAGTATTGGAACATATATGAGAGCATTGTTATTGGCACCTAGATGGCAATCATCATAGCAGGAACAGTGACGTGAACAGGACAATGACACCGCATCCATCTAGAGTAAATTATTCTGCCTTTTCGATTTTTGTAACACAGGACTTGCACGTCTTCCCATGTCAAGATTCTTATATGTATTTAAAAGAAAAAAAAAAAAAACACCATTGTCTTCCATTTCCTGCTCTGGCATTAGGACATCTCTGTATCTAATGTCATTGATTTTCAATTGTCACAGAGCCCAGTAACTCATACATTGCTACCCTGTGAAAGTCCTTGACAGTTTTACAGCCCAAATTAGAAGAAGAAGAGAAAAAGATGGAGGGGGAAGTGAATGTAAAGGCAATTGAACATTTTAGTGGTTTGCTTTATGGAAATAATCTTGGGAATCCAGTTAATCATATGGTTCATGGAAAGGGTGGGGCTCCGTGTTTTAGGTCCAGTTCATTTCTAAGCAAACTGTTCCTAACACGAGGCCAGATATTTAATGGAAGGGGAGGTTGAGGCCTTTTTTTTTTTTTTTTTTTTTTTTTTTTTTTTTTTTTTCCTTTTGAATCTTTATTGTTCTCACTCTGGTATTTTCTTTGCTGCTCATAAAACGATAACTCTTTCAAGAAGACATTTTTGACCAAAATCTTGCACGTTGTTGGTTTGTTTGTTTTTAATACTACCGGGGAGGACTTGCTGATGCATTTAGGGAGGAAGGGAAAACTTGAATGGCAAGATTCTTCAGATCCGAACCTGAGTGAAACTTTTTAAAGATGACTCAAGCCCGTAAAAATCTTAACAGTAATAAAAATAGTCGTCTCCATCCTTGACGTCATTACTGGGACGCATCCAGGTAGAGCAGAGAGAGCACTGAGACAAAGAAATGTGTCTCAGTGTGGTCACTTAACTGTGTGACCTTGAGCCCGCTTCTTAAGCCCTCTGAGCTTTGTTTCTTCATCTGTAAAATGGGTTGATGATAACTCTACTTAGCTTGTAGTCATCGACAAGGACACAGTGATGTAGGAGTTGTAAAAGTCACCTTGTAGACCATAAAGCATTAAGCCCATGTTAATGCTAGCAAGTTTTTGATCACTTGCTCTTCCCAAAGCTGTGGACGTTTAAGGGTATTGAGTTGGAAAAGTAAAAGAGAAACTCAATCTCCCGGCCACTCGGGGACGTCAAGGCTAAAGATAGGAAGGAAGCAGGGCCCTTGCCTTAACCAACAATAATGTCTATTTTCACACTTCATGTTGAAAATGGTATCTGGAGGGTGTCATTTGATCTCTCCCCTGCAGGAAAGAGAGCTGTCCTTTGAATGAGAGGAAAGTGATTTGGGGGCGGGACAAGAAAGACCAGGGTTGCAAAGAGAGCTTTAGGAGGGATATAAAGGGGGAACTGGCAGTCTTCAGAACTCTGGCAACAGGTTCCTCCCCAATTGTCTTTCCAGTGGGCCTACTGTTGCAGGCCCACTAAAGCAGGTGAAAGGTCACCCGCTTCCTCATCCATCTTCCCTGGGGTCCAGGGGGTCAGAGTGAAGACGGATTCAGGTCTTACATGTTTGACAAAGGATCCTTGGACAAAAATGGCCGGGGGGGGGGG